AGTCGTTCCTGATGGCCGGTTCCACGGATCCCGGTGGGTTGGGCGTGTCGATAAACCATGGAAGCATGCCGCCTGTCAATCAGTGGACCAGAAATGCATTTATTTCTTTTCCAAAGCTTGCTTCGAAATTTCTATGCAAGTGTCTAGCCATGTGTAACTCGGACTTGCGAGACCCTTCCGGACTTCGAGAATGTGCGGAACTGGATTCCGAATAGCCGCGGTGGCGCTTTCACATTTGACTTCTGATCTGCCTCTTTTCCTTTGCCCGATGTTTACTTTTTTTCCCCAGGCAAACTTTCTTTGATTTGCCCCTAGTTCCCCCTTCTGACATGCTCCCCCATCAAGGATTGACGTCTTCTTTCCTGTCATTTCGGAGATCCCCAGACTGTGCACCGCAATTGCGACCTCTCGCAGTTAATTTCCTTCACGGGGAATTGGCTAGCCAAGACCAAAGTGGTCTGCTGGGTCTACACTTTCCTCGTATCGTCTCATTCTCTATGGGGTCTGATTTCTCACTAATGTTAGGCGAACCTCCGACCCGTGGGTCATAATTCGCCACGCGAACAGCTAGAGCCACCCACACTTTTTAGTATTCTTTGCCCGAGTTCAGTCCGTATGCATCGGACTATTGGATGCTACGAAAATCACGCTGGCATCACTTACCTACATCATGCATGATCAAAGTACATACTTTTTCCACTTGGCTGCTTGCGTGTCGCTAGTTCTCCTTCGGCTCCCAGATGTGTGACATAATGCTTTACTCATGCAGCGGTCAGCCATGTTTGCCCGTTGAGATCTTGCCGTCCCTTTTAGATCCGCAAACTGCTCTGGCGCTTGGGGCGATGCATTTCCTCTTGACTCCTTCCGAAACGAGACTATCTCGACGATGATCCCTGCATCCAGTTGGCTTGCGTTAACTTGCGTGCCCGGAGGCTTTTATGAAAACCGACTAAAAGCCCCCATCTGTAAGCGGTCTTCTTGCGCTTTGACCCCCAGCTTCTGATGCTGGGGTCCATCTAGCCCACATGGGTTCTGTTGCACGGCGTTATCTCATAATATTGCTTTTGGATTCGCCCGCGTGCCTCTTCCGGTTCGATCAATTGAACGAGCTAAGGAATAGCCCCTGGAGATCAAGGCAAACTTTTCTACAAGTGGTGCCTATCTTCGATGCGCACAGACGGATCGTCCGTTGCCATGAGATGAGTAGTCGAAGCGTGGGCTAAATCGCCACACTCGTTGATTTCCGGCAGGCTACCCCGAGGAAGAGCAAGCGGAGCAAGCGGAGCAACTAATTTTCTTGAGACGGTGGGCGTGGGAATCCATACGCCCTCTTGCAGTTCTCTGCGTGGCGGTGACGTCTCCTGATCCCTTTAGCCTCAGCCGCTATATCCCACGCGAGTTTCGACGGGCCATGAAGCAGCAATTGGAAGAAACTAATAGGTTCGGCCTTCAGCCTAGGACCCACTAAGACCACAGACCCGAGTACCGGGGAACGTCATTGCGATCCTCGATCCGTCTCAGCCCCTTGCGACTGGTCTCCTCGTCGGGCCCAGAATGACAGGGATCTCGTAAAATCCACTCATGCGGTGACTAGGTCACATTCGGTATGTTTCTGGAAGAGTTCCATGCGTCAGAATTTGCCCCTAGTGCCTTCAATTGATGCACTCTCTGGCCAAGGAGACGGGATGTGCAAATTAAATGCATGATGCACTCTAACTAAATCGGAAAGAGATCTCAAATGCTGCGACGCGGCTATGCTGGCTCGAGCAATCCTTTGCAGTCGCTAGATCCCTTTTTGGTTATCTGGAATGACGCCGGTGCATGCTTGCAGAAAATTAATGGAATAGAGACAGAGAAAAAGAAAAACATGCGCCAAGGGACCCATACTGAGGGAAAAGGCTCTGGCATATTGCCTGCCTCTCAGTCGGCCCCCAATGCATTCTTATTGTTTGCAGATCTGTGATAGGATTTATTCGGTTTAAAAGAGCGCCAGGTACCCTTAAAGGCTTCTGTGCCTATGATCTTTTGTTTCTTCCAGTCATCTCAAGCCTTACCAAGCCAGTTTCACTGGGCCTCATTCCCTGCGGCTGGGTCTACAACTATCCTCCGTTGCCTTTGAACCGCACCCGCCAACCTTACCCAGCATAGTGGAGGTTAACTGAGCCTCTAAAACCCAAAATTTGCTCTTGTTTCTCGTCCGCCCTCCACTCCTAACTAGCATGGCCACCTCAAGTCGCTCAAGCAGCAAGAGATTACCCATAAGTTGCCAAGCATGTCGCTCGAGAAAGATACGCTGCTCTCGTGACGGACGTCCGTGCCAGACCTGTGTTCGTCGGGGATTGGGCGCTGAGGATTGCATATACCTGGGTCAGCCCAGGCTGTCCTCCGAGCATGCCTTAACAGCGGAGTCGGCGGGGCAGACACATCTGCTCGCACGGATCCGCGACCTCGAAGAGCTACTTCAGAGACAGGCGCAATCACAGTCAAGTGGCTCTGTGTCCCCGCAAAATTCGCCTAGTGCTACGGGCAGCTTCCTTGAGTCCGATAGAGGTGTCGAGTTAAAGCCTAGCAATCTGAGAAGCCCCTTGGTAAATAACGTTGGCACTCTTCAGAGCTTTGCATCTGGATACGTTCGTTATTTACCATTCGCAACCCATGCCCACCAACTTCAACTGAGTCCTACCGGTACAGGCTCTTCACTTCCCAGTGTAGATAGTGAAATACCAGATGAGAGCGACGACCTTCAAATTCCGTTGGCGAAAAACTCTGTTTCCAGGGAAGAGCTGGTTGCTATTCTGCCGCCGCGTCGGTATTGCGATGCGTTGAAGAATGTCTACTTTCAAGTATTCTCTCCAGTATGTTGGACCATTGCTTGAGTTTCATCCTCACAAAGCCTCTTTCACCTATAGTATCACTGCTAATCGGAGACCTAGATGTTTCATATTCTACATGACCTGACATTTGAGGCCGAATACCAACAATTTTGTCATGATTCTAGCAGCGTCACAACAGCATGGATCGCGCTACTGTTTGCCATTCTGGGAATTGCCGTCACAGCGCTCGAGGATGACGAACCGTTACTTTCCGATTTAGGTCGGGAGAAGACTGTCACCCGTAACATCAAAATCCTATCATCGCGGTATCGATCTGCCTCACTGCGCTGTCTGGCCGCAGATGATGTCCTCTCTCGTCACTCCATCAATTCTCTCCAATCACTTATCCTGATAAATTATGCCCGTGTTCACCGGGGGCTTCCTACCTGGACTCTTTTAGGCTTCACACATCATGTCGCCATATCCATGGGCTGTCATGTTGACCCAGATCGATTCCCGCTTGGGCCTATTGAGCGTGAAGAGCGCAGACGAGCTTGGGCCGGAGTAACAATGCTTTATACTATTCAGAATACAGTATTTGGCCATCTTGGCCATCACATACCCTCTCAGGGTGTGAAGCCTCCCCTGGAGATCAACGACGTGGACCTACTCACGGGGTCATTATCTGAGCAGTCGACCCGTCCAACGCAAATGACGTATTTCCTGCTTGAATTTCGATTGGACAAGGTCTTGTCTATGATCTGCCAGACACTTTTTAGCTTCTGTCCCAAGTTCAGCCTCTCTCAACTGGAAGCGCAGGTTTTGGCCGTTCATGAGATATGTGACAGGCGATATCAAGTTAACCCCAACCTTGAGCCTCTGCCAGTACATCATGTCGCCAATCTCAATATCCTTTACAGCTATATCCACCAGCTACTTTTGCTTCTACTTCGACCAGGTCTATGCTGCTACCTTCAAGGTGAATTTACACCAGAAACGTACGCCGCTAGAACGAAATGTGTGGCTTCTGCAAAGGCATCTCTCTCGATCTATCACTCGCTCCATGAGTCGCCCCAGTTCGCCTCATACAAATGGTACAACTGTGGGCTTGGAAGCTTTCACGCTTTCCACGCAGCTGTAGTCTTGTCAGTGACATTGATGTATCCTGAGAGTCAATTTGAATTTGTCGAGATAAAAGATATGCTCTGGAAGTCGATGGACGTGTTTGCTGCTCTATCAAATCGCAGCAATTTCTGCAGCAAAGCGGTCCCCGTCCTTCGTCGGCTCATGTGAGTACTTCTTTCTTTCATGAGGCTGCTAGCTTCCTACACTAGTTCAGCCCCTCCGAGGGATATCATAGCTAATGGAACACAAATCTCTAGCGACATGGCCTGCACCAGAGGCCAACAAGCAGTCTTGACTGTGGACCCAAACACGGGTCTCATAAGCTCCCCGAATGACCTTACGCAGGACTTATCGCCAATAGCTCCCGAGTACATCATGGAGCCGCTCTTTGCCCAGCTCCAACCTCAGAGTTGGGTCAGTCCTACGTCTGTTTATTGGGACGGTTGGAAGTTCCTGTTTGAACGGGGGTAGGCACCAGAGCAGAGACAAACACATATTACATGAAACCATGATGCGACAGACCACATGTTGCTCATTCTCTGTGCTGCCTAATATCGCTCAAGGGGCCCTGAGATACAGAAACGAAACTCAGGCTGCCTGAGGCGCCTTGAGGGTCCATGCAACTGCTTATAACGTGAGGCATGGGCGTGCCTACGACTCAAGCACGCTTTGGAAGATACGCCACCACATGGCTGTGTCTTTCAGCTGCGAGTCACACGATAAGCGCGCCGCCTATCGCTAGACAGCGAGAATAACGCGACATGCATATTTCATGTCTCTGGAGGGTTAATGACACGAGTGTCGGGTAAACAGCCTATTAGCCCGACATCAAATGGCTATAGGCAGAGCTGCTTCCAGACACCCCTTACGATAATCAACGAAAAGAACATAACGAGCTCTGATAATCTTACCTAATATAATTCCACAATACAATAGACGGTCATTTATTTCGGCTACTAATGATATTCTTGTTACCAACTTACAAAACTTAGTATCAATAACGTCGTAAACCCCCACCAAGTCCCAGTATAACAACTCCTGCATGTCTAACGACCAAACCACCCCCATTCTCCTATCAGTCAAGTGGAAAATCAATCAGGCCCTCTCATCATACACCACCTCAACACGTTCAGAATTACATTTCGCATCTGGATCCTCATCCTCACCATCACCCCGTTTGTCAGATGTAATGACCTTATCTCCAAAGGATGCCGCGATCTCTTCAAGTGTGCGTTGTTTCGTTTCACTAGTATTCAGAACGGGGTTAGATTAGTTCACAGCCTTTGAAGATAGAGGAGAAAGATCCACTCACGGAAAGTAAAAATAAGCCACGGTAAAGAAGAAGACAGTGCATGCTACGAAAACGTAGTAGTAGTTTTCGCCGATGTTGGCAAATGCACTGGGGCCGGCTTCGGTGACTGCCAAGTTGTGATTGGTTAGTGTTGACGCTTTGGTATTGATGGTGTGTGGGTGATATGGGTTTGAGGAAGGAAGGGGATTGACTAACTGGCTACGTTGACTATAAAGTGTGATGCTGCGGCTAGACCCATTACTTTGCTCCGGAGAGCTATGGGGAGGACTTCGGCGCCGTAGAGCCAGGTTGTGCTGTTGAGCATGCCGTCTGTTTTGTTTCCGAGGTATTCTGTGTTAGTTTCATCTATGTGCTTGTTTGGGGAGATGGTTTGTTGATTGGCGACATACAGTATGCTACCACGAAGAGATAGATTCCCAGAATGGCAAAGCCTTTTCCGACTCGGTTGTCGGTGTTTTGGAATTCGCGTTGCATGACGGCTGCGTAGATCTCGACGATAATGATGCCGCCCAAGCCGGATAGAAGCATTCTGTATTTTGTTAGGTATACAGCACGGCTTGTTTAACTGGAGGATGATGTACTTCCGACGACCCCATTGGTCGGTTAGGTATTTGGTTGTGAGGCAGTTGAAGATGAATGCCACTGTGCCGTATACGGCGGCTAGTGCAAGGATAGTATGCGAGTCTATTCCGAGGGATTTGTATAGAGTTGCTGCTGGTCGTGAGTATGGGATGAAGAGGCCGAGGCTAGAGGGAGAAAGGGGGCTAAGATTTAATACTAACTTTGATAGTACTAGATACTGGTTAGAATCCATCTTGTCCTTGATGCGGATTGGAGGGGTCACTCACTTGTATCACATTCACACCAGTAAGACTAGTCATGGTCTGCACAGTAATCGATCTATGGGCGTATCAGAGCAGGTACACTTTGGTCAGAATTGTGAACGACTTACACTAATGCACGGCGTCTAAACAGTCTGAATATATCCTTGTAGGAAGTTATTTCTCGCTCCTTCTCGTATTCAATTTGCGCCACCATCGCGGCAAACTCCTGCTGGAGTTCATCCGCAGGCACACCTCGACGGATCCTCTTATACTGGACCTGCGCCTGTTCAACTTTCCCTTTACGGATCAGATGGCGCGGAGAGTCGGGCATAAAGGTGATCAGTCCAAAGAACATGATGACACCCCAAGGCACTTGTATTCCAAGAGGAAGTCTCCATTGAACTGGTCCATAAGGCGCGTAGCTGCAAGCATATCCGATCCAGTTGGAGGCCATCGTTCCGAAGGAGATGCCACACCCTGAAATGCCACCGATCAGGCCGCGATAGCGGGGGTCTGAGATTTCGCTCAAATATATGGGAACCGTAGCGACAAGACCCCTAAGCAGGTACGGTATGATTAGCTATGCTTCAAAGTAGTTTTCTCCCCATAATCAGTGAAGGAAACTCACCCGACTGCATAGCCAGCTAACGCACGCCCAGCAAGGAACATTCCGATATTGACTGAAGCTGTCTGAATGACTGTACCAATTGTGACGACTACACATAGTAGCTCCATAAATCGAAGACGTCCAAGTTTATCTCCGACTGCAGTCTGAGTGAGTGCGCCGACTGCTTCGCCGGCAATGTAAACTGAGACGACCTAGACCTTCTCAGCTCTATTTTCAGTGAAAAGCGATGATCTTAGACATACAGCACCAGTGAGGCCATTGGAAGGGTTGTTCATGTAGTTTATCCAGCTTTGATGAGCGATTGCTAGTTCTGTCAGTCATAACCGCAGAGTGACCATTTGCTATTCTTACTTGTCGTAGCGATGCCCGTATCGAATCCCTACGTATGAGTCTCTCAGCCGGGGCTCAAGACAGATAGAGCAATCACCTGAGTGAAGATGGTACTCACGAAAAGAAAGGTTCCGATTGCAGCAAACAGCGCAACGCCAATCGTAAACCACGCAGCCATCTTGACAATCGCGGGGCACAGGTGGAAGAAGGACGGTTAGAGATCACATATCGATAGTCCCTCTGCAAGGGAAAAGCGCCATCTTAACATAACGCTGTCTGTCCTACGTCAAGCAGGCCGTGCCAATGAGCATTCAGCCGAGGGTACGTCATGATAGCAGCCGCTCGGAGTATGACCGACCGAAGGGCGCATGAAGTACAAAGACTTGGTAAAGCAGACCAGATTATGGAGTTGTGAAGACCGTATTATGTGGGGCTAAGAGTTCAAGCACTGGGGTTTCCCCGCATTCAAGTCTGGGAGATCTAGTAGTAGATGGTTTAGGTCCGGGAGAGGCGTGGGGGTGACCTCTCAAGACAGGCCTCATCGCATCATTGACTTGTCTCTTCTATCGGCCGGAAGAATGGTTGGAGTGAGCTTGATCCATGCGACATACTTTTCAACGCGATTAGAGCAAAGACTGGTGCGACAATCACGCAAAAAAGGGCTTGAGCAATTGGAGAAGTGTTCCAAAGAAAGTATGAACTAAAGTGATTACGGGAGGGGAAAGGGGAGATCTTTTCCAATATTCGAAACGTCCAAAAAGCCCGTCGTCTTGTGACTTCCCGCAATTGGTTACTCCCCCCTCTGCAGCCATGTGTACATGGAAACAACACATGAATAGTAGAAAGCTCATGTACAAGGGTTGAGAGTAGATCGTGCTAGGCTGGATTTTGTCTAATCTCCGAGATCGATAACACTACTGCAGTCATCATGATGCCACTTTTCTAAGCCTACGTATATTTACAGCACTAGTATTGTGACCATTAGATGCACCATATAATATATATCTCACACAGATATAAGACTAGTAGTGGTACTACTACTACCAGTGAAGACATACCCGCTTCATGCCCAGTGTATGGCAAGTCTAGACTTATAGTGTATCGCAGTTTTAATTCCATAGAGACTTAACCACCCTAAAATCGATACAACAATCAAAGCAGGTAAGGGGACACTCATACTAAACATCTCGCCAGTATACTCCGCAAACCCATTACCGGCCTGGACAAACAGGCACCAATCCACTAACCCCAAAGCGGAAGGACTCGCTTCCCACACAACACCCGGCAAATTCCTCGCTTAATCGACACTAGTCACGCTAGCGCCATACCGCCCAAGCCCGCCAGGTATAAAGTCTCGCTGCACCCGCCCTCTCTTTAGACTTTTTCTTCTTTTCTTCTCCAGCTCTCTTTGCCTTTTGGCTTAGATCAAGTGTAGTATCTGTTCTTTTCAGTTTAATCTCTGAAAGTGTTCTAAGGAACACAACATTGATTAATCTTATTTTTGCACCCCGTGGCGGGACCTCTGTGCTTGCGCATGTCTTGCTACACAGTGTCATCGGGCTTACACTACCCCCGATCGACGCGAACACCCCTTTTTCATCAATTTGGTCGGCTTGTCCGACTGGTTGGAGAAGAAGTTTTGCTCTATAGTGTAGTAGTAGCTAGCTAGCTGGTGAAGGATTAAATACATTGGTTGTCCAATTACTGTCTAGTACGGAGTAGCAATTAAGCAAAAGTCCAACCATGGAATTCTTCCAAGGAGGTCAAATGTCTGGCGTAGTGGCTGTGTGTTGTGTGTGACTACCGAACGGAGTACTCAGTACTCCATGGAGGAAGAAAGTGAGGTTTTGTTTTGGCAGATGGACTGACTACGTCTTGTGCCATATCGAAGACCTTGATCACGGTACATTCCGCAGAATAGCTCCCCGTCAACTAGAATTGAGATACCAAACTACTACAGAGCACTTCAAGCCTGCTTTTGGTCAATGAGCCTCGAAGTCCTACAATCATTCCATCACCGTACACCAAAAACCATTAAAGAGTCAACCCCTCACCGCTCTTCAGACCGCTTATAGCGGCAGAACCTAGCGAACCTCGCTCAAAATACTTCGGATTTAAGCGGATTTAAGAAATTACAGTCCCAAAAAACTCAGTTGCGAAACTGTTCGTTTTCTGCTTGAGCGGCAGAAAACTGGTTCATTGACCGCCGCACCCGCTGGTTGCAGAACTGCACAGCGGTAGTGCCCTTTTCATCACGTACTTAGCTAGCACTAATAGAATGAACAAATCCCTTTTTAATTGTGGCTTAACGTCTCACAGACAGCTTCTTTATCGTCATAAAGTAGTTAGCAAGCCCGAACGAATCTTAGTAGATTTCATCGCATGCGGAGGAGGCTATACAAAAACCGTCCAATATGTTGAAGATTAGGCCAGACTTTGATATCTCTATACGCATATAGATACTTCAAGTAGGAACATAGATGATTTGAACATTGAGGCTGAAACTACGGCATTTATGCCCTGACTTCGGAATCATATAGATCCTGTGATGATAAATGCAAAGTAGATAATGTCGATAACCTTCTAATCTTAATCACGGCGACTATCACTTGGTGCGTCCAACATTTTTCCGGACATACTATAATCTTGGAGTAGTTTAGCGCGTCTTATCGGACACTGGGGTGGGAACATGAGTCGTGGTAGATGATAACGCTGTTGGTATTGGTAAGGCAAGACCCTTGACGATATCAAGATAAGGCGCAGCCGGGTTATAGTGATCTACGTCACGTTAATTTCAGGGAAATACATCTTCTCTACACTCCCTACACCACGATGCAGCACAATAGTTCGTCAAGAGACTCATCAACTAGGAGTCATATATTCTTTCATTTTTTTCTTGAATATGAGATCCTATTCCATCTTCCATTGCCGATGTCATAGCCGCCGCCGCAGCATTGCGGTCTGTGCAATGCATGAAACCCAGAGCCGAACAAGAAAACCGCAAATTTAGAAGACAAGAGCAGCACCCTTGGTCTTCTTGTCACCACTGTTGAGAAAGAAAAAGATGTGGTTAGCATCACCCATCATCGATTGTATGCTAGGCATAAGAACGTACCCAAGCTCGAAGTGCTTGCAGCGCTTCAGAGAAAGCTGCTTCTTGGTCTTGCAAGCAGTGCACTCAAGACGGAGAACGATCTTCTTGGTGGTCTTGGCCTTCTTGTGGAAGACGGGCTTGGTCTGACCACCATAACCGCTCTGCTTCCGGTCGTAACGACGCTTACCCTGGGCGAACAGGGAGGCCTGTAGAGAATCATGATTGCATCAGCATAGGTCGCGCGGTGGGCTCGGTTTTGCTTGGGCAGTGTTCACCTTTCCAGCCTTGTACTGGGTGACCTTGTGCTGGGTGTGCTTGTGGCACTCCTTGGACTTGCAGTACGTCCGGCGGGTTTTCGGAACGTTGACCTGAAAGCGAGAGAAGTTTGATCAGCCCCTGCTGTGGTAGGATGGTATTATAGAACGTCCGCAGTCTGTTCCTGAGTTCCTCGTCGTCGGAGATGGTATTTCACGGTGGGCATGGTATTGGTTCGAAGAAGCGAGAAAAAAAGCAGATGCTGATATAGCAAGGGTGTCGTCACTCAAGAGCAATTCGTTTTTTCAATGGTTTTCGGTCGCACTCAGCATCTCTCACTTCATCCCACAATTAATCGCGGGGCATTTCCCCGGTCGAAAATTCCATCTCTTTTAACCATTTTGCATTTATATTGACAGCTCAGGATTTTCGTTTTGCAGCTTCGATCGTTGCGCTTCGTATAGTGCCGCTTTTCAAGTCGGTTCGCCGTGGGAAAAGAGTGCCGTATGTCGTCCCATCTCGTAGTATGTCGATTGACCGAAAAACACTTCTCCGACGCCCAGGAACACGGAAATAAGACTGATAAACGATCAGAACAATATCCTTACCATTTTGACTGACTTGGCCGGATCGCGAACTTGGTGGTCGTTGATAGTCTCTTGTCGGGAGGATCGAGTTGGGCTGGCCGTGTGTTGTGGGATTTCGTTCGCTTAGGGTGCGGCCTAACCGCGTTTGTGTGCCACCCGCCAAGACCGCCCGTGGTTAGTGGCTGCCTCAGGCAAAGACCCATACCATCCCCATAGTTATCTATCGAATCGTATTCATTCGCTCACCCACTGTCTAGGTTATTCAAAACTGGGTTGTTGCTAATTAGAGACCCTTTACTGAAATCCTTTGCCGACAACAACGGCTTCTCCTCCGCCGTAGAAAGACGTCCCTTTACAAAATTCCAACCCTTTTTCCTGTCCGACAAGCCATTCCCCTTTCCCAGAGATGGCTCCGTCTCCTCGAAACCAGTATTTCGTCCGGAGCATCTCATTAATCTTCTCCACCCTCTCTACCAGTGCGGCCACCCGCGCATGGTCCACCGCTTCGTCTTCCACTTTATCGGGGTTGTCTATCACAAATCCGTCCCGGGTGATGAACCGCGCAATTGTAATATGTGCTGAGAGTGCAATATACCTCGGCTTCATTTGTAATCCCGTCGCTGTGACAATACTCGAAACATCACGTCGCAAATGGTGATAAGTGTATCCATCGCCGTCCACATCGTGGGCAGTTGTAGTCTCTTCTCCAGCAGCAGGGACAAAACTCAGCGCCATGGCAGTTGCATCGTAACTGATCATAGGCTTGACCAGCCGTGTTCGATGATGAAATAGAAAATCCACCAGCTTCGGCACAACGCCACTATCCTGGAGATGAGAAACCAATCCTTCAACCTCCGGCTCAGGTCGACAGCTGGCGATCTCTAATGTAGTCATATGCAATTGCTCTGGGGGCGTGAACCATATGCCTAGCAAAAGGGTGAAATGGAACCGATCAGTTGAACCAGGCAATACAGCACAAGGGATACAGAGAGTGCCCCGCAAAGGCAAGATAGAACTAACTTGGGGCAATTTCTCGAATGGCCTGTTGGACCTCAGCGACCAAGTCCCGGATATGCTGCGGGGGTCGAGCGTATAGTGTGAGGTTATGCCGAGGATCGACAAAAGGCAGTGTTTCGCAGTTGGCGCTTGCATGCAACTTTTTCAGAATATCGTCAATCTGCCAGCCTTTGAAATCGGGGCTGAGGAGCTTTTCTCTGTATTGGACATTGCGGTTGGACCGGTGAGCTTCATATCGAGCTTGGATTTGTTTCTGTGATCGGGTTTGTCAGGAATGTTGTTCTTAAAAGAGCTGTTGGGTGTTGTACTGGGTCATCTTGACATTCTGCAATGAGAACGTCAAATGGATTGGCTTCTTCGACAGTATTTCCCATGGTGCAGGATGTGACGCCTATTTACAGTGTGCTTTTGTAGCAAACTCGGTAGAATGGTGGTATTTGAGAGGTGTTTGAGTAAGATAACAGATCGCCAAGGGGCTGGTGCTATATATATCCCAGTCCCGTTAAGGGTACATCGAGACCATTACAAACAGTCAAAGCATATTTCGAACAATTAGCGTTGAACTTTGCAATTTAACAAGTAGAAGAAACTCGCAATTATTTCATATGATCAAACAAAACCACATCATCACATCATAATCATCATACAACCCAAGCCCCGACGTTCATCTCGGCCGGGCCAAAGTAGTAGTTAGTTACTTTGAAGCGGCTTACTCCGTAGTTATTTTGATGCCCCACCAAAAACCCCGCCGAAGCTTTCCGTCACCAGCTGAGCCCAGTCAACAACAACCTCCACCACCACCACCACCATCGTCGTTCTCTTCGCTACTATTATATTAGAGCGTCTTTGTTCCTTGAAATTACTCGGTCTTATTATTTCCTCTACTATAGCAACTTAAACTCTACGAATACCTTACAGTCGCTATCTATCTTAACCTCAAAAATGTTGATCAAGTGAGTTGTTGTCCTCCGCCCCCCATGACGCAGATAGCCTCCCATCTGTCGCGATAGCAAATGCTAACCGGTTGTCAACCTCAACAGAGTCCGTACCCTTACCGGAAAGGAGATCGAGTTGGACATCGAGCCTGATTACAAGGTACATACATACACGCATCCCTTCACAGACATATTTATTCTTGCGATCTTGCCCATCCGCGCGTGGTGATTGTTTAGCTAGCCTAGCTGGCTTAAACCAGCCGGCTGCAACAACCAGCTCCGCTTGCACACGACCAGCCACCCACCTACCCTACTGATATGTTCTTCGCGCAATCGATAGCTAACAAGTACAATACGCAGGTCTCCCGGATAAAGGAGCGCGTCGAAGAGAAAGAGGGTATTCCTCCTGTTCAGCAGCGACTGATTTTCGGTGGAAAGCAGATGTACGCATACTCTCGTGTCCCTATCCCTACTCCCGGGGGATGTATAATCGCTATGTTATGGGTCACCAGTGCTAATAGAGAGACTTCTGTGACCATAGGGCCGACGACAAGACTGCTTCGGAATATAACCTGGAAGGTGGTGCCACGCTACACCTTGTTCTTGCCCTGCGTGGTGGATGCTTGTGAATGTGTGTGGTGTGGCAGAGGGGGGATGGAGTAAAGAGGAAGATATCTGTATGATGCTTCAGGGCCGGTATTCTGAACGCTTTGTAGCGTTGATTTCTTGTTTCAGGGCTATGAGCATGCATGTAGGTTTCGATCCTGGGGTGGTGCAGGGGGTTTTAATGAGCTACAAACCAACAATGCAGTAATGACAGTTATTTACATACTTTTTACAGAAGATGGAGATGGATTAGTGGAGTTGGTTATCTGGTATCCCTGTGAGGGGAGTGGGGGTTAATATTAGTGATTGGTTTCTTATATATGATAAGACTGAGTGGGCAGCCTGTGTATGTGATAAGAGGAGGGTATAAACATCATTGATATAGAGAAGAGGGATGATATGCTCGAGAACCAAAGGTTGCACTCCATTGAGTTCGCCAAACATATTGCTGCGCAGCATTTTACCGATATAAGTTGTAAGATCCCTGGTGGAACATGCAAAATGCCTATTATAGCACCTGATCTGAGCCTGCGATATCCAGGTGTATGAGATCGAAAGAACGCCTTCTGTGGTATCATTTGCAAAACGCCATCAGCTGAAACGATGAACCAGACTCACGCCAGTACTAAACACCATTCCTATATATTATGAGTGATTTGTGTATCTAATAATGCAGGTTGACTTTCTTGGGACCAGCATATGTCCAATCAGTTCAGTTTCTTCTTCTTTGGTTGAATGAAGAGGTTCGGGGCAGGACGTTTGCGGACCACTGCCGGACGGGGTGGCTGTGGCGGAGACGCTGGCATGTCCTCTACGGCAGACTTCTGATGAGAGCCAGTCGCACTGTTACCGAGAGGTTGGGAGGTCTGTTTCTTGGCTGCAACCCCTGATAGAGACTCGGACGGGCCTCTTGTTGGCTGTGATGCCTGTGCACTTCTTCCTGCCATAGGCCTACTGGCTGTAGCAGGGCTATGCGATTGGGTTATTGCTCGTAAGCGAGCCTCTCTTTCCCGCAAGCTGGGGCTAACTTCGAGACTATTCTGACTCACGGAGGGCGCACTCATCTGGGGACGTGACCGACCGGGCACTCTCAGAGCTGGGGCCTCCTTGCGTCGAGCGACAGGGGGCTCAGCAGGACGTATATGGTCCTCGATAAGAGAGCGCGGAGCCTGTCTAACCTGGGTAGCTCTGTTATTAAGGTGCTTTGTGGGCACAGCAAGAACGTTATTCCTCTTCGTCGCCGTGAATATGCTATTCTTCTTCTTTGTCTCCCTCGGCCTACCAAAAGCCCAGGGGGGCATTGAGGATGACGACGTTGGTGAGCCGCCAAATCTCCGATCGTATGAAGCATATCGTTGCCTCGCGGTCGGCCTCTCTCGGGGAAGACCGATGATTCGTCGGTCGGTAACGAGTTTGGCACTCTTCTCCTGACGCTCCGAGCTGATGCCATCTAGAGCCATCTTCAGCTTTTCAGCATCCTCTTCCACTGCCCGTTGGACTTGTTCCCGGAGGTCACAATATACGTCATACCAACAATCGGGTTTCTCTGGCAGATCGTATTCGTCCCATCGCGGGATATCTCTCTTGATAAACTCTAGCCAGAGTTCTTCGTCATCTCGCATCAAATGTGGGGACTGTAGCTCCAGAGTTCTCTGTAATGTGGGGTGAGTTTGACAGTTAGTCAAAGGGGGCACTGACGATGGACGGGGGATTTCCGTTAAAGACTCACCAGTTTCTCAGGACTCTCCACTTTCAGTAGAAATGGTCGAGCAAGTACATAGGGAATGTTGCCGATGTCGTTTAACTCTGTATAAGCGTCGATTGTTAGTACCCTGTTGAGGTCTTCTGAAGGTGAGATTGGGCGTTGCATACGTTTCACGTTCCTAATCGCAGTCGCCGTGCAGAGCTGCAAAAGTGATGGTGGCGGCATGGTGGTTTATCGGGATGGGCACTAAAAAATAACCAAAAAAGTGGCATGGAAGGAATATCGGATATAAGGAAGAAGTGAGAGGCATCTGAAGAAGGCATGTGAGATGGTCACCGACGATCAGGATGAGATGAACGTAAGGCCATCGAGCCTTTGTACGTGGTAAATGCGTCTGCGTCAGGCTCAGGGCGGACAGCTGTCTCGTCATGACCTCATTGGTTCATTGAGGCCAAGTCAGGCGGAAGCTCGGATTCTGCCGACTGTTGGAGGCTCACCGCCCAAGACGATGCTATCCGTTCACCTTGCGGACAATGGAGAGTGAGTTCAACTACAATAGTAGCTATCTTCAGAATATTAGGCCCATAAAATGTTGGCTGTGCTAGATGCTTTAATACGGCTACATCTGAATGTGGTTGTTGTTGACCCCTGTATATGCAGTCGCCCTGTGATTGGTTATCCTTCTAGGGAATGGCCCGTCATCATTTGCTCGCAATGATCTATACCTCCGGCCGAGTAGCCTTGTTATCGTGGCATTATCCGCCCGTATAATAGGGCCCTCCCCGGAATACATCTCCGCAGCCTTGCTGTTTACCTAACTGAAAAGTGAGGCGGGCTTGGCCAGTAATGCGCCCCATCGGGCATTGCGGCAAGTGCATAGCCTCGCTGCCAAGGCTCTGTATAGCTTTTTATGCCTCATACTATAATCATATCTGGAGACTGATCACTACTCTGATGGTATAAAGTTCATCATTGTGGGTGGAAGTTGCCCTTCGTAAACTCGTACACAGAGTTCATGATGAAAGTCATACGCGCGATGGATGACTGCGCCCTGGTGTCCTCGGTTCCTGGAAGGCTCGAACAGATGTTGTAGTAATAGCGTAATGTAAAGACGAGGGGATATAAAGACGTCCTCGTGCCATGAGCCAACTTCCTGCCATATTCTCAAGGATTAGCGTACAACACTTCATCAAATTGTTCGAGCAAGAAAGATCGACAGTACCATTCACAGCAATTTTATACTGAACTATAATATCATCCAAGCCTCCACAAACCGCAGCCATGTGGTAAGTCTCTAGATCAATGCAAGTCGAAACTTGTCTCTTATGCATGCATGCTACAGGTACGCGATATCTCGACCGAGCGAATATCTTGTGCTCACTGGAGCCGGGATTGATGACATCAAAGTATGCAAGAAGGCATTTGTGTGGCCACTTCAGCGGGTAAGGTTCAACCAGGAGAAGTGCCAAGAGCATAGCTGACATGTTCATGAATAGTGTTCGAGAATATCTGTAGCACCGTATGATTTCTCGCTTAGCTTACAGGCTATGACAATCGAGAAGCTGCAGTTCTCTCTGCCAGCAGTGTTTACCATAGGCCCTGACAATGAGCCGGGCGCACTCAGGAAATATGCGCTGCTTCTTTCGGGCTGTACAGACGAGGCTGATCCTGCCCAAAAGAGGGACCTGAATAGCAAAGCAAAGCAGAACCATGTCCAGGATATCGTTCGAGGAATCATCGAAGGTGAAACACGAGTGATTGTTTCTAGCATGTCCATGGAGGAAATCTTCAAGGAGAGACAGATATTCAAGACGAAAGGTGAGTGGCGATATGCTAATTAACTGAGTCACTGTTTTGCTAACATCTGAGGAAGTGATCGAGAACGTTCAAAATGAACTCCAGCAATTCGGCCTAAGGATGTAAGTTCCAGCCTGTTGAGGTGGTATCATCAATTCTGATAAATCATAGTTATAATGCCAACGTAAAGGAGCTTCAAGATACCCCTGGAAGCGAATATTTTGCTTTTTTGAGTCGCAAGGCTCACGAGGGAGCCCTCAACCAAGCTAAGATTGATGTTGCAGAGGCACGAATGAAAGGTGAAATTGGAGAGGCAGAGAAGAAGGGCAGGACCAAGCAGGAGATTTCCAAGATTGATGCCGACACCGCTGTTCTAGAAACAAAGCGCAAGGCGGAGAAGGCCAAGGCAGACTCAGAGCTTACGAACCGCAAAACTGAATTGGATGCTGATGTCCAACTTAACAAGATCGCAGCTCAGCGTCAGACGGAAATGAGAGACGCTGAGTTGCAGAAACAAGTGGAAAGCAAGCGCGCAGAGACGGAGTTGGAACGTCTCAGAGCCGAGCAGGTCACAAAAAGCAAGGTTGAGCGTGAGTCTTCCCAGGAAGAGGCCGACGCTGCCTTTTATACGGAACAGAAGGCGGCGGATGCAGAATTGTACAAGAGCAAAATGGAAGCGGACGCAACCTGTAAGTTGTCAATGACCTTCAGCGACAGACTAATGCTGACTTCTCCATAGATTATCGCCAGAGCAAAGACGCAGATGCAGCTTTCTACACTCAAAAGCGAGAAGCTGAAGGAATCCTCGAGATGGCAAAGGCATACGGTGCGCTTGTTGATGTTCTCGGTGGTCCTCAGGCGTTCCTGCAGTACAGAATGTTGGAGTCTGGCACTTATGAAAGGTTGGCCGATGCCAATGGTCGTGCCATCAGTGGCCTCCAGCCGAAGATCACCACTTGGAATACCGGAGGTTAGTATTGCCGGCATGTCTTCTAGGGAAATCTATCACGAATTCTGACAAAGGAACAGACCATGGAAACGGTTCGCCAGATGCGATGGCACCGATTCGAAATATTATGCAGGGCCTCCCTCCTATCTTAAGTACAATCCATGAACAGACCGGGATAGCGCCACCGTCATGGTTTGCTGAGATGCCAAAGTCCAAAGATTTGAACGGCAAGCCCCTTCAGACAGAGTCTCATCCTTTGAATTAAGACCCTTCTGAACCCCTAGAAAGTTCCCTGCATCAAGATGAAGGATGGTATTGATGGGTGTTTCTATGTTTTGACTCGCTTGTTGTAGCAATTGCTGAATGCTTCTTATTGCCACAGACGCACCATCAAGAGAAGGAGGACTGCATTATTGCCATGGATAGTATGCCATCACTGAGCCAGATAACACAACGTGTTGGAGAAAGGCTGTTAGATCATATGTTCGCAGAATAATTAATGGAATACCCCTTGAGTTGCTAGTCCTGATCAGACGATCATATCCCTTGAATATGCATGATGACAGATTCCACGCTTCTTCGGTCCAGACCGGAGATGGATGAATCGCAAAGTAGCACGCTGTAACTATTTACTTGCTGGTCGGGTTGCTTTCCTTATTGACCCAATCCATCTTTCTTGTATGTCACGTGCTGTCCCACCTTCTCCACTCGGACAAACACTGCAAACTGCTCCTCTATAGCATCATCGCGGAGGGGCAGACGAGCAAGAGCAGCATTACGCAGTAAACTCCTCTAGCAAGTTCAGAGCACCTTCAAACTCCCTGAGCTATATTCTCCACACTTGACCTGGGAACATTTGCTTACCCTCCCCCAAAAACCTACCCAGTCAAAAAGTACTGTCCAGGTAAGTTCAACTACTACTAAGTACGATTGTTTGCCATTTTTGGCAACGTCTCGTTTGGCACCTGTCGGAGCTCCTAAAGCTTCCCGCCTCGAGTCATTAAGCTAGAGTCAGGCCACAATCTCATTATTTCTGTGTTCAGCACGGAGAAATGCTATTGTCCTAGGGCTTATTATCCGCAGAAGTGCAATAGACTCTAATTCCGGCTCAATAGTGTCGATCATCATGGCTCCTCGCTCTCAATTGGAGATCGCCACGGCATCTGTCGAGCGCCTGGTCAAAGAAGAGGCTTCGTACCACCGTGAGCTGCAGGAGCAGACGGAAAGAGTTAAGAAGCTGGAGTCCCAGGAGGGCGGCGATGACGAAAACAGAGAGTACACATTGAGGCAGGAGGTAAGTAACTAACTTAGTATGGTCGATATGCATAAAGGAGATCGCTGACAATTGTTTTGATAGCGTCTGGCTCTCGAGGAAACCAAAAAGGTCCTCCCGACATTGAAGCAGAAGATTGAGGACGCTATAGCCAAGCTCAATAGTTTGCTGGTGAGTGACAAATTTCCTACATGCTACTATGTACAATTTATCTTGTGCTGTCAGGAGGACTGAGATTCTAAATTTATTGCTAGGTTGAGGAAGGAAAGAAAGGCCCCGAAAGTAATGTCGAGCATATTAATGCTGCGAAGGAAGCCATCGCCAAAGCCCGAACAGCGGAGCGGGAGATCGCCTGAGATAGCTCATTTTTCCATCTACTGGCACATGTACTTAATCCACAGCACGAAAATTATTCAATAAATTGCCCCTGAGAAAAGCAAAGCCATTGTTGCATTGTGATAGTTAGCCTAATGCGAACGCCACCAACCGAACTCCTTGCTCAATGTGTGGTAGAGAAAATTCTCCGATAATCAAGTAGTGTCCATTTTGTCTGCACGGTCATCCTGGACTTCCTCCCCTTCTTCTAGCTCTTCGGGGACCTCACCCTCATCTTCCATTGAGGTGTCCTGATCGGGGGTAATCTTATTCTCGTCGTCCACCGCAGTCATTTGTCGCAAAGGTGACACCGCACCGGCAGTACCCGTCTTTTCCACTTGCAAGCCTGCTGGTGATCGCCCAAGATCATCATGGCCATGTTGAGAAGGAGTCAGACTGTCTGACTCGTGACGAGGGGTATTAGCTCCACTGGATTTCCCCTTGGAGGGAACATCCCCGTCATCTCCATCTTCTTCCTCCTGCATGCCTTCTCTGCGCTCGACCTCCTCCTTCTCGTCACGGATGAGCCGACGGAGTTGCATCCCTTCTTCAACAATGCGACCGAACTGTTCTCGCCGTTCAGACCAGGTGTGTGCGTAGTCTTTACTCTCTTTCTCCAGCTCAGTGATTTCCGCCTGTAGCTTTTGTAAATTGGCTTGTTGATCTTCGCGCGGCTTCAAGAGTCGGTTGCTAGTAATCTTCTCTGCCAATTCATCGTAGCTTTTGCGCAATGCTAGTAGACGCTGGGCTTCCTCGAGCTGTACCCGCAGCTCTGCTGTATTGTCACGCACCGATTGCATTGTATCAAGGATTCGAAGCTTCTCGGTCGCATAGCGCTCGCGCTCCTTCTCATTACTTGTCAAAAGGAACTGGATGCGCGCGATGCTGCCTTCGAAGGCGGCAAAATCCAAAGCAACATCTTCACGGAAATGGCGCCATTCCTCGAGCCGTTTCTGTTTCTCCGCCTCTGCAGCTGCTGTCGCATCGTCGTCTGCACCATCTGGTGGAGGAGTGGGAGGGAGCGTTGCGTTGGACACTACGATGGAGTCATTGTTGAGGAGGCGTTTTGAAATCCGCTTGAAAGGCTTTTCTTCGACGTTCAAGAGGCGCGACTTGTGGAGACCATCTGGAAGGGCATTACATTAGCACGGTGTAAGGAACGGGGCGTGTTTCTAGAACCACTCGACCTTCATCTGGTTGATCCAATAACCCGTAAGACATCATTATGGTCGTAAAAATAAAATAGGGTATTTGTCAGGGGGAAATGCAAATCTGCGTCGGGGAGGAGTCGAAATGGATCGCGCGTCTCTCCTCTTCTCGGTGGCCGCGTGAAGATGGTGCAAGCCTTCAAAGGGAAAAAGGCCGGATGGGCCGATGTGAGCGGTCGGGGGATCCGCGCTAGGCGGACGCCGACCTTCAGCTGCTCCTCCCGCCCGCAATTTAATGCGGGCAGCGTCCACTCTCCTATTTCCGATCTGATACTACTATTCATTGCGCTTCCTTCTCCTCATCTCACCTCTCCAATCTCACTTGTCAATCACTGCGGCAGGTGGTCAACGGACCCTGGGAGGGTCTCAGTCATCCCTACAGCTGCTTCCCACTTCGAAGCTGTTGGTCGCTCAACTTCCATTGGCTCACGGTTCAGATCGGCTCTATCTATGTTTCCCTGATTGGCTATGGTTGTCAGACTTGGGATCGTCATAGGGAATTAGAAATCTTGCATTTTACGCGCCAAACAATGCCGAATTTATCGCCCAAGGAATTCATCGCTGTCTTCAGAATCACATGAGTCAGAACGCCTCACTGATGGAAATCATTGTCGACACCGACCTGCTTATGTTCCGCTCGCGACACCATTCTGCATCGTGATGGCGGAGATGTACTCGGGGCTCCACGTGGGCCAACGTTTCAGCTCGCTGGAGGAATTCAAAGGACTGGTTCGAAGTATTTCCGTGAGACAACACTGGGAGCTTCGAGTGACCAGAAGCAACAAGAAAAGCGTTGTCATCGGCTGTCGATCTTCGAACAATTGCTACTTTCGTGTTGTGTGCCGCGCGAACAAGAATGCAACTTACATCAGCAGCCTCCAGGACAGCCACAGTTGTCGTCGCAATGCCACTTCAACCTCGAAGACACCAGCTCGATCGGAGGCATCGCATGTGCGGTTCCTCCTGACTGAAATCCCCAAGCTATTCGACATGAAAAACAAAATCAGGGCGCAAGACGTTGTGGACGCTGTGAAACGATACCATGGCTATGACATCTCAATGCGACAAGCGCAACGAGCTCTTATCCGCCTACAGCAACATGAAGCGCAAAACCAGAGCGAGGGCACCAACACTCATGACTCTAGTGGAGATGACCGACAGGACAGCCAACCGCCTCCTTTAGAGAGTCAGGCAGAGAGTTCGACTTTCGGCAGTCTCTCTAGTCAAAGATGGATTACAGACACTCTCCAAACCACCATCATGGAAAACATACCTCAAGATGAGGTTCACCGGGATCAAGCTATTTCGGCATCACAACTTCACAGCCAACCTGTACATCCGCCGCCTCAGGTACATCACCAGGTGCAGCCCACACAACAAGCGCCGCCGGCTGAGGTCCTGTCACCAGAACAGACACCCCTAGGTCATAGCCTGCATCACCCTGCAAGTTCCCAGCAGTCTCCTTATTCAGTCCCTGCTCCTGATCCAGCACCACCTTCGGACGCTGGGCGTCCAAAGAATCCGACTCAACCGCGACCAAATGATGGGCAGCTTACCAGCCCACCATTCGTTCTGACCAACTTCAAAATCGAGTTTACTTGCGCCACATGTGGTGCACCAAACCAGAGCTTCTTTCCTAATCACGGCAACGTCACTGGTGGGCATTATGCCCCCCAGCATACTGTTCCTAGTCAGGGCACAACTTCAGCCAGTGCGGGTCCTTCGATACAATCGATTCAAAACAGTGATGGTAGTAGCCGCGCCGGAGGCGGTCCAGCTTTTGAAGGTACCTCTGTGGCAAGCACACGTGGCGTACAGCAGCCTTGGACAGCAAGAACCATGGAAGTTCCACTTACACATGCGCATCCATAACTCTGTATAGAGTTGGGGCGATCAAAGCTCCCTTTTCCTTATGCCCCGATCAGAAAGAGCGTTAGATACGTCTCTCGGATCTGCCTTAACCTTACGGCTCGTGACGAATCGCGGTCACGTCTGCAACCTTGCGGTATGTTGCTGCACATCCGATTGGGTGACTGGCATACACCCCTGCAAATCGCCGCTGCAACGCTGTCTCTCAAGGACATATGTACGATGTAGAGTGAGCTCAGACGCTATAGTGCGGAACAATATGCCTCGCAGGTTGATACTTGTCACTGCCCTCCCTTTGGAGACAATTCCTGTTCAATTGACGATCATGTACGAACTCAGGGCATCGACAGTGTATGCGGTTTTCTTTACCAGGATGGACTTTATTGCAAACCCGAATACTACCTGCCGCCTTCATCTTCATCATCCAAATGATTAGCTGGCCTAGTTACAAACACGGCAAATGGGTTCTCTACGTCGATGCTCAGGACCGGCTGAGTCTGGGTCTAAGACATCGGCCGCAGCTTGCAGGAGTCGTTAGAAAATTTACGGTATTGAACCTTGGCGGTCTCTTTCATTGTGAGTCATGTTCGAAATCAGGCCGATGAGACAGGATCAGGATCGGGATCGGCCTGTTTGGACCAGGTGCAGGAAAGAGTTATCTATGATGTTATCGCGGGTGCGGGCACTTGGGCCGACCAATTTTTTCGGATGTCCGATTAGCCGGTTTCCAACCTCCGACAGGGGAGATCCACTTTTGCTACGACTGTCGCCAACTGACTGGCAAACCCGACGCGGAAAGATGCCGCTGCCACGGCTTGGTTGGTAAAAGAACCAATGAGAGCCGTTGGATCTTATCCCTGTGGAGTGGGCCATATGGCAAGAATGCTGGGTCTCGGTCGACGGTGCTCGGCGGTGCCTCCGATGATCCCCTATGAAATTGACAGGTTAAAGACTCGGACGACGCTTGCGGCCAACCATTGATAAACCAACACTTCTCGTCCCATATATTGTGCCGTGCTGTTCTTATCAGTTGTTGCATATATATCTGTTTGGTGTCTATGGCCTGAAGCCGTACACACACCCTGTCGACAAGACTCAGTTGCTGAGAGATATCCAATCTGGTCAATATTGATTTCCCGATTTTTTACATTCTTCCATCCGTCTTCTCTATAATACCATGCTCGGAATTCCCGCCTTCATAAATTCTATATTGGCATAGACAGAACAGAACAGAATGAATCGACAACAGGCTGCGGAAAAAGCCTTGCACGACCAGACTAACATCTTGCCTATCGGGCAATTGCTGGTTGTCTTTACGGGGCTCGCAGTTTCTCTGCTTATCACCTTCGTTGATCAAAATGGTATCAGCGTTACTCTTCCCACAATCGCCCGAGATCTCAACGCCCAGGATACCATCTCATGGGCAGGCACATCGTCCCTTATTGCGAACACCATGTTTACGGTGCTTTATGGTCGGTTGTCTGATATCTTCGGCCGAAAGATAGTCTACTTGTGTGCCTTGGCACTCCTTTGCATTGCCGATCTACTGTGCGGTCTATCTCAGAATGCTCCAATGTTCTATGTCTTTCGAGGATTGGCTGGTGTAGCTGGCGGCGGTGTCACCTCCCTAACAATGATCATTGTATCAGATATCGTCACTCTCAGAGACCGGGGCAAATACCAAGGAATTCTGGGTGCGGCCCTGGGGATGGGCAACGTTATCGGGCCGTTCATCGCCGCAGCATTCGTCATGGATTCGACATGGCGAGGTTTCTTCTGGCTCATTTCTCCGCTCTCTGCATGCTCCATTGTTGTGGGCTATTTCCTCATTCCCAATAATGCGCGGAAGGACAGCCTCCGCAAAAATGCCCGCAAGATTGACTATTGGGGTATCTTGTCTTCGTCCATTGGAATAATCTTTTTGTTGATCCCTATATCGGGAGGCGGCTCTTACTTCAACTGGGATTCGGCGATGGTGATTAGCATGCTCACCATTGCGGGCTGCGCTTTGATTGCGTTTCTCATAGTTGAATGGAAAGTCGCTGTGTTGCCTATGCTTCCTAGTATGTCACCAGTTGAACTTCGATACTCAGACCCGGCTGCTAATCCTTGAACAGTGGTATTTTTCAAGAACAGAGTGGTCTGTACCTTGTTCTTGCAGAGTTTCCTTTTTGGAGCTGTGTACCAGTCGTCTCTCTACTACCTGCCGTTGTATTACCAAAACGCTCGAGACTGGTCCCCGATTGTTTCTGCAGCACTCACAGCCCCAATGGTCGCCTGTCAATCGGTGGCTTCCGTTTTATCTGGCCAGTACATCTCCCGGCGTAAACGTTACGGAGAGGTGATCTGGGCTGGGTTTTTCTTCTGGACACTGTAAGTGACCGGCCGGTGTCTTGCCCATCGTTATATACTTGTAATCTGACATTGAATTTAGTGGCGCCGGTTTGATGCTGTTATTTGACCGTCACACCAGCCCAGGAGCTATTGCTGTCATCGTTGGCATCGCTGGTATAGGCGTTGGAGGGGTCTTCCAACCGACCATGGTCGCTTTTCAGGCGCATTGTACGAAGGCCCAGCGAGCTGTCGTAATCTCGGACCGGAACTTCTTCCGCTGCCTAGGTGGTGCATGTGGTCTGGCTATCTCGGCTGCGATCTTGCAGGCAACGTTACGCTCCAATCTGCCTGTGGGATATAGGGATATTGCTGATTCATCCTATTCGCTCCCGTCGAGGGCCGGTATTCCCGATGCAGATTGGGAGCAGATCCTTGACGCATATGCCAAGGCTTCTCACTCCGTGTTCATCTTCCAAGTCCCGCTGATGGGAGTCTGTCTCCTCGCATGTGTCTTTATTCGCGACCGGGGACTGGAGAGGCCCAAGGATCAGTTTGAAATAGAAGAAGAGAAGAGGCAAGAGGAAGAGAAACGGCGGCAAGAGCAGGCCCAGGAACAGGCCGAGAAGCAGGTTGCAGCTGGGGATAGTGAAGCCCAATCGGAGCAGGTTCCTGAATCCCAGGCCTGTGGTGAGATGGAGAGTGCGTCTCGCTCCGAGAAGAAAGCGGAACCAGAGCCGTAAGGTGGTTATGAGATGCAATGAATCTACTTATGATACAAGTCCGGCATAGATGGCGTTTCAGCGATACAAAAAGTCCACTGCGGCGATACGCATCCATTGGTATATGACATACTCTTCTTGAATATCTCCTTAATAATATTATGGAAATACACATGATAGTGCAAATACAGACGAGTAATCCATGTAGAGGAACCCACGCGAGGTGCCTATCTTTCTCGTACTATTAATTTAATTAATGGCTCCAGGCGCTAACTGGCGGGTCGAGCCGAGATGTCTTGGCGGGGACGAGCAGCTTCCCAACTTCTTCCTCCATTTATTCCTGACTCATCTTCTGCTCTGTTACATTTCCGATTGTCGAGCGAGTCTAACTTCTCTTCTTCCTCTTCTTCTGTATCAGGGACAATATGAAATAAACTAGTATGGATATTGCGAGCACTTCGACCCCCACCAGAACCTCTTCTTCACCTTCGCGGGACTACAATCCCCGGAAGCGCGGCAGAACGGCATGCACGCGCTGTAAGACTAGAAAGCAGAAAGTCAGTAGACGGATCCACCTATCCTTGGAGATCAGTCCGGGTTGTAGTTGTCTCTAGAATGTTACTCAGGGGCATCAGTCAATGCTAATGGTCAAGCCTTAGTGTGACAATGACTACCCTGTGTGCTCCAACTGCCAAAAGGCCGGGGCGATATGTGACAAAGCCACCGTACGACAGGAGAATGGCACTCAAAACGAGTGGGATCCCCCTTTCCTCCACCTGACCTGAAATACATTCGTTGTGGAATACTGACAAATGTAGATATACCCGTGCGTTGCAGGATCGCATCGCCTACCTTGAGTCCCAGTTAGAGTCGAAACCCATGAGTAGCCGGGCCAGCAGCCATGTCGCCCATCCAGTTGCTGCACTCCTGTCTCCTCCACACCCGGAGACTCCCAGTAACCCGACCCCTGGTCTGGATCAAAATGCCGTCGGAGAATTGGTGGGATTCCTTGCACTTAACTCGTCGGAAGCGCCTGCATACGTAGGTTCCAGTTCGGGCCTCTCCTTAGCTACGAATCTTGGGGAAATGGTCCAAGCCACAATATGGAACCAGGCCCTGTCTTCAGCTCGAGCAGCGTCATCAGGTAGATCCGGACCTGCAGCGGGACAAGGGTCTACGGGTCTCCCTCCTCAGCCTCCAGGGGAGAGGGCTGGTCATGTCAATGATCGAACGAGACCACCACGAGTGGAGGAGGTGTTGGTGAAAAGCAGCGAGCCTCCTAGCGATGAAATGGGATCCAGGATTCTTCATGCCTATCTCACCCGGATCCATGTTCGCTATCCGTTTCTCGACCGCACGGAGTTGTGGCGACTGCATGAGGCGCGCTGGCGGCTGGCGCAGAAGAAGCGAGAGGAGCTGACCAAGGAGGAACGGGTGGGCATATTCAAGCTGTACCTTGTATATGCCATCGGAGCTACATCGATCCAGTTAAGTGAAACTTACTCGTATACCACTCCTGAGGTATGTTGCTCTTGTGGTGCGGGATTATTTGTTCTAACCACCTCGCCAGCGATTTTATATGACCGCTTTGCAACAACTACCGAATATGTGCGAAATGCGATCTATAGAAAATATTGAGGCTATGGCCCTGCTGATTGTGTATCACCTTCGCTCCGCGTCTGGTCAGGGCATGTGGTACATGGTAGGCCTGGCCATGCGTACCGCTATAGACCTTGGACTGCATCGCAAAGCAAACGAGATCAACATGGATCCCTTCACTGCGCAAATGCGGCGGCGTCTTTTCTGGACTGTATACTATCTCGAACGTGTCGTGTCGATGTCCCTGGGCCGACCATTCAGCATCGCAGACAGACACATCGACCTTCCTTTGCCTGCAGACATTGACGACGATGTCCGCGATCCGGCCTTGCTAGCCGCCCCTCCAGCTCCGACTAGAATTACTACCCTGACATTTGCCATATTCCTCATGCGCCTGCGGCGCATTGACTCCGAAATTCAGCACAAGATCTACCGAGCTGACCGACCACTGCACACCTTACGCTCGAAGATGGACCGACTCTTTCTCCAGCTCGAAGAATGGAAGGAGTCAGCTCTGCGACGTTTCACCGGATCCGACCTAGACTATCCAATGCTGCACTACCACCGAGCCCTACGGCTCCTCATCCAGCCATTCCTACCCTCACTCCCTCTCTCCGACCCATACTATCACATCTGTCTCCGCGCAGCCGGAAACACCTGCCAAACCCACAAGAAGCTACACCAAACCCTCGAATACGGGCACTCCTTCCTAGCCGTCCAGACCATCTTCATGGCTGGTATCACCCTGCTCTACGCCCTATGGACCCACACAAGCGACGTCTGGTCCGTCCAGATGAGCAACGACATCCGCGCCTGCTCCACTGTCCTATTCGTGATGGGCGAGCGCGCTGAATGGGTCAAGAAATACCGGGACGCATTCGAGTTACTCGTCAATGCCGCAATGGAGAAATTAGAGGGCAGCGACGCATCCAAGAAGGTGGGTATGGCGGAACTGATGACAGCCCAACACAGCAGCAGCGGTGGCATCAATGCAGGAATGTTCAGGGATCATCACAACCTCACCACCACATGCAGCAATAGCAACAACCCCACCAGCGGCATGGCACCAGATATGAACAACGCAACGGCAGCCAACACCGCCGCCCAGGTTTCTTCTGAACCCACTAGCAGCCAGGACCATGGCGTGCGCATGGCATTGCAGATCGCGCCCTGGATCGATCTGGAAGAAGACAGTCCATTCTGGATGCCCGATTTCGAGACGCTGGAGAGTCTGTCGGGGAATTTATGGGATAGTGGCGATTTGGCTCCGTTTGGGCCTCTCTAGGTGCAGATCTCGGGACATCAGCCAACGAATCGTATACTTAGGAAAGTGTCTGTTCATGCAGCGAATCATGAGCCTGTGGCACTCATATCTGTCTGCATGCAAGGCGCGATCCCTGCATGAATCGGCGATCGCGGTATTTCAGAGCTGAATTACCCGTACGCTTGAACGCATAGGAAACGCTCCTGATCTCTTATCGACTGCATCTCTAGGCAACCATCATCAATCGGTGACACAGCAGCTGTTTGCCATCTCAGGGTCTGAGAGGGCATGGGATCTCTGGTTCGGATGTAAACGGATCACTGCGACGCAAGGAGAATGGGTTTCCCCCACCATTCCGAAAACAATGATTGTGAAGTGTGGATGATGATTATACACAAGCAGTAAACTAATTAGGGACAACACCTATTCTTTATGATCAAGGGCGTCGGGCGTCAAGGATACCATTTTCGATATACTCTCTATAGAGAACGTCTAAGATAGCTATCTAAACCACTGAGTAAATGTACAATGTCACGTCCCGTGAAGCGAAGGGAAAGATAGAGAGAGGAAGAGAGAAAGGCGAGCAAGAATTAAGCAATCGATATCTATCATAACTCATCCTTCACCGGCGGAGCAGGCATAGGCCTCCCACTATCGCGACCCAAATCGACTCCATTCTTCTTACGCCACTTCTCCCACAGGGCA